GCTTATTATAGTTTATTCGTTAACCACTCAAGAAATCACATTTTCACTTATGCAAAAATCAAAAAAATCGGTTTATGGATATGAAATTATCGTAACTCAACATCCCAAATTGTTTATTTTCGAGACTATTAAAAATAATGTTTTTACAGTAACGAAAAAACTTTCTATGAACAATTTGGATATATTCGCTTACGTTAATTCCAAATTTGTTTTCGTCGAAAAATATATTCGAAGTCAAATTACAAGTTTGTACAGAGATGTGGTTTTGCAACGCTGCAAACAAGAGCGAGAAATACTTAAAAACGCTTTAGCAATTGCTAATCAGTCACCAGATCAATTGGCTTATAATCTAATGAAGGGCCCTGGTTATATGGTGGTTGCTGCAGGTGAAGTTGTTCATATTGTAAAATGAATTCCAAGTGATATCAAGGTCTTGCCCGGAGTCGAATGTTACGCTGAGCTTAAAGTTAGCCATAATAACGTAACTAGGTTCATGACACCAAAAACTCACATCTTAAAGAGTCATGGAACTCTGATTGATTGTAACTCTCTGTTACCAACCTTTTACTACTTTAATAACAATTGATTTAAGTTTATACCTCGGCTAGTTGATGCAAGAGATCCGGAAGTACTCAAACCTTTCACTGAAATGACGTGGAAATACCAAGACATCTCAACGTTAGCAACAAGCGGAATCTACAGCGAACAAGATCTGGAAGAACTATTAAACCGAATCATGTACTTGTTGGAACAACCCGCTGTAATTAATGATGTTACAAGAGAAATTCGTGGCCACACTCTTCGTGACCACGACGGCACCATTAATAAACTGCTCAACGAGAAAGTAAGAGAAATTGGTCACTGGAACTTGCGAGCGTATGTGGGGAAAATTTCTGACTTCTGGTACTGTAAGTGCTGGAATAATGGCTATCCTAGTCATCATTCAAGGAGTCAAGATGTTAGCTGATATTTTGATCAACGGAACGGCACTTCATCGCATATATGGATGATCGTACCATTTGCTAGCAGCAATTTGGAACAGCTTAAAGACCTTCTTATTACATTTAGCACCAACCAGTATGACTACTATTATTAATCAAGATGTTGAAGCACAACAACTTCAGCCCTCACCCAGCTACCCATCAAAAGAAAATCCATATGCTCCATTGCCAACTGAAGAACAACAAAGATCAAAACCTTTGCCTGTGTAACCTGTCAAAAATATCTTGGGAGTCGTCCCCTAATTGGGTTGTAAGCAGATTATAACGAATTCTGTATTCTATTTTACTATTCATCATTTTTGTTGTATGTTTGCAAGTTCCAAAACTAATCTCTAGATATAACGATTACTTTTCCTCGTTATACTCCTCAAGTAACCGTTTATCTGTGGGGGTGTAACGTCCGATAATTGATAGTGTCATTTTATTTTATTTTTTATTTTTTTTGTATTACGACATCAATGCATCAAACTACACAATTTTGAGAAGCGAAAATACGTTGGATAGTTTCTCTTCTCAAGATTTCTTCAAATTCCAAGAGAAGACAAGTTGACCAAATAGTTTGCGATTAGAAAATAGGTATAAAAAGTTTTACGACTTTGTTATGTGCGTCCATATGCTTAGGATGTCCTTGTACAAACAGCATGGTCTGCCGACGCCCAAACCCTATATAAAATGTAGGAAAAAAAGAGAAAGCTCCTCCTATTCGTTTTCCACCGAGTTTACATTTTCCGTTTAGCTTAGTCATCCAAAGTTAGAAAATTATTTTATTCTATTGAGTAGTTTGTGCAGGTAGATAAATTAAGTCGTACGATTTACCATTTAAGCTACGTTTTATTTAAGCTCCATTGTATATTTAAAGATATAAATAAATAACATTTGACAATTTAATATAACTCTCAGATTGATATTTATATATATATATTTAATGACTTATAATAGATAATAATTAAGTATGTTAAGTCCTTGCACGTTAAAATTTTAAAATAGTACTTTTATACGCGATTCGGCATGAGTAACTCCATCTGTCTTAAAGAAACTGTACGTTTCCCTATTGCGGCAAAATTTCCACCAATCAGTTTTGAAGTTTTCATGAAACTATCGTTTTCGATCTCGGAATTGGAATCGGCGTTTTCGATTTCGGAATTACCGCTCAATTGTTCGTTGCTGAGCGGGTCGTAGTTTTTGTCTTCTGGGATGATTTCTTCGTCGTCGTTAACATCGAGATCGTGGTTTGAGATGGCTGCAATATTGCGGCTTCGGGCGGCGGCATGGACCGCGACGTTGCGGTCTCGGGCAGAAGCAGCAGCATTTCGGCTTCGGTGGCCTCGAACGGTGGTGACACGAGTCGTTGCGTTGTGACCTCGAGCAAGGGCGGCAGGAGCCACGGGGCCACGGCCACGAGCAGCGGCCCGCGCAGCACTTTCATCATTCGCGACTTGACGTCGTGCAGCTCGACGTGGAGCTGGTACTGCACCATAGAGTCGTGGAAATAAATAGCTGTGTTAGAATTTACAGTGCCGGCAAATAATTCTGAACAGATATTTAATGTTCTGCTTCAAATTTGAGCAAGCGTAGATCCTTCTGTTTTTATTCAGAAAAAATTCTGACCTAATCATTTGGAGGTTCTTTTCAAAAGCTTTCTTTCTGGCTTCCTTAATTTTTCTCAGGGATTTTTCTACGAATATTGAAACGAGTAAGAAACTTCAGAAATTGTGGCACTTTTTCATTTTTGTTTAATCAGTTTTAGTTTTTTCAATATTAGAGATAGAATAATTCTGAGTTCCTGCGGAAAATCGCATGGAACATGGCTGTCGCGACGGTTACGAGCTATTCTCCGCGTTTCTCCATAGGCCCTCGAGCGAAAATAATCGCTGAGCCTCCCTATCCTCGGGGGTTGCCGGCGACGCGATCTTACGCAAGAGAGAGAAAACTTAACCAACCTTAAGGGAAAGCTGCTCAGTGTCCCCGGGTTGTAGAGATGCTGATGGTGCGTTCGCTTTTCTCGTACACAAGTCCAGTGACGAACGGTTGCATCAAGTTACACACGCGTCGCAGACACAAAGTTCACTTGCTTTCGCAAAGGCCAAAATCAATCAATCGCGAAGACGGCGCGGACAAAGCGTGTCGCACTCAATCGTTGTCGCAATCTACTGTCGGGCACCGAGCGTCCCCCACCCAAAATCCTTGAGCAGCGGGCAATCGGCGGCAACTCGCGCGTGCCAACTCTGCCGGCTTCCAAACCATCTCTCTCTCTGCCACCAGGAAGGGACAGACGTTGACGGAGCAAACGTCGCGAGCTGTGGCTCTCGTCACAATATAGTGTAAGTTCATCGATAGCGTGTCGCTTTCTAGGAGAGGCAGCAGGAATCGAAGCTGTAGAAGTACTCGTAGATATTCTGAGATGCAATATATTTGTTATTTGATCAGCTACTTTAGTTTTATTTCGTATCGAATCGACTACAAAACTTTCTGCGACTTTATCGCTTTGCCATCCGGCATCTCTCTTGAGATCTAAGATATCTCCTTCACCATCGACAAGAAGAGTTGCAAATGTTCTGCGGACCATATTTTCTGTAAATAATTATGGAGTTGATATGTTCAAGAAATCAGCAATTAATTTCGGTATCATTGATATCTTGTGTTTTCCTATTGGATGTTTGGTGCATTTTTCCATTTGAAAATTAAAAAAAGATCGATCAATTTCTACATTCGTTGGTCGCAAAGCCATATAACTACGAATAAACGTTCTACTGGAGTTTTGACTCCAAGAATTTTTATCAACATCATGGTGTTATGGTCTTCAATGTTGCTGTATTTGAGTGAAAGCAACTCACACGTTCTGCATGCTCCACTAAAGCCAATAGCGAGAACATCCTGTAATCAACGAATTATTAAAGGAATTAATAATTGGTATATGGAAGCACTGGAACAGGATGGAAAAGAGCAGGTCCACGGGTAAAAAAAGTAAAAAAATCATGAACATCTAAAAATTAAAAAAAGAAACGATTTTTCAAAAAACATGCTTATCATTATATCTAAGTATTGATTGTTGGGTCCTGCTCAACAAAACTTGGAAATTTCATTTGCAGTGAAAACATTACATTTTTTCGAAACATAATTTGCATGCAATGCTTTTAAAATTCCAATTAACTTTTTATAATTTCCTAAATCGATTCCATAAAACTTATTTATTGCTGATCTTAACTTGGAATACGTAGACCATAATGACGCTGATGATATTTTTTGGGATAACTCGTTGAAGTACACAATGAAAATTGCTTCGTCAAAAGATAATGTTTCTTTTAAATTACGCCATTCAAATTATTATATTCTGTGATATATTCTTGTTTTGATTTTTGAGGTAGTGAGTCCATAGAAATTATTTTTGCTTTTACCAACATTTCCACAGATACCTCACTAGTACAATTAGAATCAGATTCACTGCTGTTGACACTGCTGTTGTTCATTTTTCGGTCCATATATCACTAAATTAATAAATAATATATTTTTTCAATTACTATCATAGAAATATTTAAAAGCGCTGTTTTTTTAAATGCAAAGCTTATTCAAACACAAGGTGCGAAAAATAACTGAATACACTCAGGCAAGAATCTTAAAGAAAGTGTGCATAAGTAAATTTTTCAAGTATATGTACAAACGCAGAAAAGAGAGAAAAACTGGAAAACCCCAGATTCGGTAGCAAACAAGAAAAACAATAAAAGTAGGCGCCTGATTGGGGCCTGTTTGACACATAGTGGTCATCTGTTGTCGGAAAATCTCAGCATATTTCACCTTTTTTGAATTTTTATAACGGTCATCTATATCGACCAGATCTTCTTTTACACGCCTTTTTTTAGGGCCTAGATATTACATTTAGGGTTTTACAGCCTCTGTAGAGAACACGAAATATCATTTTGCGGTCTGAGGACAAAAAAAATTATGTATAAGAAAATGCAATAGAAAAAAAAAGGACTCAGTAAATCATATACATTCTGCTTAATACAGTATATTTAGACTACCAAATAAACATATACAAATCAGATAATTGTTCATAAATATAATTCTTATTCATATTAAAATTGAAATCTATTATGTATTGACGCAATAATTCAACTTTATCTTGATTAGATTTCAATTCTCACTCAGTCCTTGCTTACATTCATCTCGAGGTTTGTATCATTTGATGGTTTAGAGATCAATTTGATTCTAGCTGTTTCTCTAGATCGATTATGTACTTCTGCTGTACGAAGAGTGATACCAAATATATCTTCATGGAATCGATTTTCATCCTGAAAGATAGAAAATTAGAATTTGTAAAATATACTCAGCGGAGACTTTTTTATTTCTCAAATTAAATTCAAATATTTTATTATCATCATTTTGAAGAAGCAAATATATAAACTAAGAGAAAACTTTATTTTATTATCATATAAGTACGTTTTAAAACTATAGAAGTCAAAATATTTTAAAGTCATGCCTACATATGACAAAATACTCGGAATCTTTAATTTTTTTCAGAGTGTAAGATTATTCTCGGTGACTAAAAGTGAAAAATATACCCACGTTATGATTAACATGGAGGCATCACTGCGTTATCAAAAGAAATCGATAAATCAAGTATTCGTCGAAAAAAAAAATTTCACTTGTTTGCATAGCGATAATAGTTGGCAATTTAATACTTATTACATTATGGTCAAAATGCAATGATCAAATCGTTAGTTAGTATACAATATAATAATTATTTATGAGCTTTCGCAAAGAAAGTTTTATAAAAATAAATAATTATGAAGGATGTAGTTAATATCATTTAAAATAGAAAATACTTATAATTAACCAAAACATATTTATTAACAGAAATTAATCAACATATAATTATTGGTACAACATCTAATATCATCGTGCGTCAATAAGTCCTCACAAAATCCACGAGATAACGCTCAAAGTATCCTAACTTATATTGCATCAGCAACAGTCACTATTAAATAAAGTGCTGCCGAAGTTTCAGCCAGATCTATTAAATAGTTCCGTTTTTTTTGTCGATCAAAGTGAATAACTTTCGATTCTTGTTAACAATGGAGAAAAGTGAGTTCCGAATGATGACAGAACATTTCTATTTAAAAAACCTTACACCTAAAGAAATCAAAGCTGAGTTAGATACAGTTCATGGTGTATCTGTCCCTGTGTTGGCAAGTGTTTACAATTGGGGAAATAAATTTAAACGTGATCATACATCGAATGTAGATGAACATTGTTCAGGCCGTCCTGTAGATGTAAGTACTCCGGAAATGATCAATGAAATCCAGACATGGTATTGAGTGACCGAAGATTAAAATTGCGCAAAATAGTTGAGGTCACAAGAGTTTTAAAAGGTACAGTCATTTCGATTTTGCATGAGAAAATGGACATACTCCTGAGATGAAGGAACAGTTAAAACACTGGATTATGAAAGATCAATCAGTTTCAAAGAAGGCGAAGATAGTGAAATCGGCAGGGAACGTTATGGCCACTGTTTTTTGGAATGCACGTGCAGCTATCTTCGTCGACTATTTAGAAAAAGAACAAACAATCACCGGAAAATATAATGCGTCGTCATTGGACCAGTTAAGCGAGAAAAAAAAAAGAAAAAACGGCCTCAATATACAATTACTTATAGAGACACTGACACAAAACTAGTTGACACTATGCTGTCTTACTGGCAACTAAGTCCCTTTTATTTTACTCTACCTTTCAGACAGGGAACTTAATCATTAATCTAGCTATAAAATTCTAATTTTGTTTCTTTGCTACTGCTTGATACCACTTAATTTATTCGAATACCAGGTGTCGAATTTGGTGTATTCTATGTCAACTGTATTTGGAGGAGTCTTGTCAGGAAATTGCAGTATAAATTCACTCTAATAATAATTTATTTATTTATTTCTATTTTTATATAAAAATAGCCCCCAAAAAAAATTTATTCACTAATATTTAGCCAATAGTTACTGTTTTCTAAAAATAACTGATCTACTTGCCTATTCCACGCCTGAATTAATTCACTACCTCCTTGATAGAATCGGCACCTTTCGTCATCATTTTCTAATGACTTACGATGTTCGGCAAAGGGGCACTCCAAAATTTGCATCAACCCACCTGCGTCCTCACACTGTTTGCTTAAATGTAACGCCGTGCAGTAACGACAATTACGTACTGCTAATAATGGTACTTGACACACTGCACAATATCCAAACGTAAAGCGGTTATCTGTATGAAGACTACCATAATTTATCTTAAACAGATGCTGAATGGAGATATCAGTACTTTCACTCACGGTTTCAAATAGCAAATTTTGGCTCCTGAATAAACTATCCTTTGGTACTGTAAGATATTCCGGATATTGGAATATCTCATTATTGTTTCTTAATGTAAAACGTTTTCCTCTGGCTTGCTGTTGTGCCACTGTGAGTTCTGATATTACTGGACCTAGCGGTGAGTATCCCATCTTCGTTACACTTTCCTTGCATATTTCTTGAAATTCTGATGAGTCATTATATATTATTTCTCCGATTAATTCATACGTGATGGTTGGCTGGAAGTTCCGCACTTTGTATCCGTATTCATTTGCTGTTTTGTTCAACCAGCGGCAAGCTCCCCAGCGATAAATATGGAACGGTTCGGGTGTCCAACAGTAGTTTTCACTCGTTTCGAATAGTCCTAGAGTGTCTCGTTGAACAACACCTTTCTCGTTAAAGAGAAAACCGTGGCAAAATCCTCTTTCACTTATGAATTTGATGGAAACACATTGAGCGTACTTTTTTCACTGGATTATATTATTTGCTTGCTCTGTTGTTTTCTATAGACTAACTAATTTTTTCTTTCTCCATTCGTTTTGATAGTGATTTTTTCTAATTCCCTACCTTTTTCTTTCTACTTTTATGTTCCTGGATGATTACCATTTTACAATCCATGACCTACTCTAGTCACACTAGGAAAGCTTTATTACCCACACTTGGCCTAATACTACGGATAACGGTCCTCCGCAAAGCTAAATATTTCATATGAATGCTAAAACTGCAACTGGCTGACTGACTTCCTCAATAACAGGTATACTTATTTATTCTTTGATATTGACTGATTCTGAGCTTTCGATTCCTATTTGTTCAGACGATTCTTCCTTTAGTTCTTCATCCTGGGTTGATTCTAATAGAGTTGGTAACATATTTTCATAGTCATGAACCTTTTTAGGAGATATGCGGGGTATCTCGTAAAACGGTGGCCCCGTAAAATCGTATCTAAACCCGGTATCTAATTTCGACATTGGTATATATGTTTCGCTTACTGTAGTGCCTCTTCTACTTTGTTTTTTGTTGACATAGTGATATACTATAAACATAATTAGAAAGATTTCAATTAAACATACAATTGCAACGCGGATACAAATAAGGTTCCAAATTGACAAGTTAGTTGTTTTTAATTCTATTTTTGTTGTTAGGGTATTGATCTGTTTTATCTCAATTTTAGTTGTACTGTCTAACCGCTGGTCTATATTTAAAAGGATTAGTCGAAAAGGCGGAATAATTAGATTTCTTATTACTTTATTGCCGGTCGCACCTCTATATATTTTTCCGTCGGCCCATATGTCACAAGACCTTAGGAGTTCAATTATGCCAGAAGAAATCTTCGGAATAAATATCAATTTGTTAATGCATTTAATTTTTAATGAATCATATTCTCTCGTTGAGAATAACCAGAGATGAACGCTAGCAGTTTTGATTAGGAAATAATCTTCATCTTCACTTAATTTAACATTACATTTATATAAAGTTTTGATTTTTGGTTTTATTAGCATGTTGAACTCACAAGATGCTTTGGTATTTTCTATCAATTCTACACTACATATTCTATAATAGTTTACGATGTTACATAATTCAAAGGTCGTTTTACTCATAAAGAAATATGAATTATTGGTTTCTGATACAACAATGTAATCATTCCGCGGTTCAATGTATGCAGCGATTGACTTGTTTGTCTCAGATTGTTGAAAAACTAGAAAAGACATCATTTTGTACACGACAAACTGTTCGGCATCTATGAACGGTAGTACTATTTCTACAATTAGTATTGTTTTATACATCATAAAATGTAACTGTGCTATGTCAGCAATATTTGCTGTATTAATACTATTAGGTTTAACAATGGATTTTAAAAGTGATGTCTTTTCTATTTCACGTATTACTGTTTGTAAGGTGTGCATAGCTAATAAATATTTGTTATATTTAAACATTTCAACCATTAATAACATAATTTCTTTACTTTCATGTTGGAGTTCTTTAATGAGTGAAATTGTTTTATGGAAATTAGCGGTCTGATTTTTGTCTGTTATGTTCGGGTTCTGTTTTAACAGTTGCACGCATCTTTTAATATAGTTAGTTTTCGAGTTTACTGATTTAATTTGTTCATGCAGGCCATTGTCAAAGTAATAAGTGTTCGGTTCATCACCTACAATATAAGATAGATCGTTTATACGCATGTTAGTTGATCTTTCTATAACGTTTTGTGTTACTTAATACGTAACTGTTTTGAAAAATAAAGCTTTTCCTCCCCCCTTAATTTTGTCAACATGCAAAGTGTTGACAAGACGGTTCAGGGAATCGTCAACATGATTAATATCCATCAAATCATCCATAACATGCTGTATAATCGAACTTGCTTCTATCTTGGATACATTATCTTCTATGAAGATGTTATTTAAAGTTGTTACTTGATTAGTAAGTACCTCGTTCCAAATGAAAATGTGTTGCATGTCAATGGTTGTTAGTAAACTCCAATTTTCACGCGTAAAGGCTATACATTTAATTTTATGAAACGCAATCCCTGGATTGTCTTCAATCAGATGTACGACGGGGTTTTCTTCTCGTCCCCTAACTGCCATAAATCCAAGAAGAAAATACAGGTAGATTGCTGCTTTTTTCATCTTGTTAGTTTTTTTTTTTTGTGTTTTGCAAACTGCAATTCGATATAGGTTACAATTATTATTCGATAAATTATATTTTTTTGTTTTTTATACAAGCTTATAGGACCATTAACGTCAAATACACAATTGTTAATCCATGCTTCGGTTAAGTCGTGTATTATCGTTATTACAATTTTTTTTTATAATACCCTTTTACAAATTTTATCTAATGAATCAAAAACATTGTGTAATTAAAAAAAAGATCTTTCAATGTATTGATATTGATTAGCTACTAAATCTCTTGCGTTTGCAATATTTTCTAATTCATTTAGATTGTTGCTAATTTGTTCAGCGTGTACA